TGGCCACAGTGAAATCAAAAATTCCTATCTGAGAAATGGAAATTCACATTTTCCTTTTGGCTTTAGTAGTTTACAGGACACAGACTTAAAAAGAAAACCAACAAGTTGGCTAATGTTTTCCCTTCTGTCTCTTTTGATGGGAGCAGTTGGGCAGTAGCTTTCTTTTGTGGATACCGTGAAAAGTCTTAGATTCCTAAGGAGAGTTCACAAAGTAGTGAAGCAGGCCCATTGAGAGGATCTCCGTAAACGCTGGCCTTGGAGGAGTTGGTGGCAAGGCAAGTTGTTGAAATTCTTGCTCATCCACAGGACAATGGCAATCTCTGGCCGCAACATGTGTGTTGTTTTTAGCTCATAGAACACAGGAATATGTTTTGGGTTATTTTAATCTTATTGATGAAATCTAATTTTGAAAAAAAATCACAAACAGAAAATTAATTTTACTTCATTAATTGTTTAATGCAGATCAAAGAGAAAAAGCTTTTCCTAGCTTCAAAGAACATTCACAAACTTTCAAAAGAGCATTTTGAAAACTCATTATTGGGTAATAACTTTTCAAAGTAGTTTCAGTTAAAGAAGCATGAATACTTTTATACCCCAAATACTAAACCATTTGAATCAAGAATGAGTTTGTGCCATCAAAATAACTTAAGCAAGTCATGTTAAGAAGAAAGGAACCCATTTGTAGTGGCACATGCTCTTAGGACATGCTACAGACAGAGGCAGTAATATCATGAGTTCAAGGCCAACCTTGGCTCTACCTTTTGTGTCATAAAGATGACTCAGCAAATTTAAGGTGTCTGCCACCAAGTCTGCCAATCAAAGCAAAATCCATGGGACCCCCTCATGTGTGAACATGAGAAGCTACTCTTACAAGTTGTCCTCTGACCTCCCCTAACATAAATACAAATGCAGTTTTAGAAAGGACGGACATATGATTCCTTCTTTTAATTCATTTTACTTGCAGAAATTCACTCACTCATTCACCAAATCACTTACTTACCTTTTTAACTATATACTGTTTTCCAAACAATATTCAGCCACAAAGGAAAAAAGAATAGGAGCAACTAAAAAGAAGGAGAAAGAAAACCAGTGATGAGAAAAGAGGTTTAGATGCTAATTGTAGTAAATGCCTCAGGTGCTAGAGAATGGATTTGCATACTGTCCTGGTCACTGTTCCATTGTCATGAAGAGACACCAGAACCATAGAAACTATTACAAGAGAAATCATTTGACTTGATCTTGCTTACAGTTGCAGAGGTTTAGTCCATTATCATCATGGCAAGAAGCATGGCGGTGTCCAAGCAGTTGCTGGGCAGTAGCTGAGTACTACATGCTGATCCACAGGCAGAGAGGGGCTCTGAGTTTGGCATGAGCTTTTGAAACCTCAAAGCCCACCCCCAATGACACACTTCCTCCAACAAGGCCACATCTCTAAGTCCTTTTAATCTTTTCAATAGTGTCACTCCCCACAGACTAAGAGTTCAAATATATGAGCCTAGTTGTTGTTGTTTTATTCTTTTTCTCTTTTATCTCTTTGCTCCTTGGGGGCCCACTACCCAGCTCCCAAATAAATCACATATGGAGGCATATTCTTAATTATAAATGCCCAGCCTTAGCTTGGCTTATTTCTATCCAGCTTCTCTTAACTTATCCCGTCTTCCTTTTGTCTCTGGGCTTTTTCCTTTTCTTACTTCTGTAATCTTCCTTTCACTCTTACTCTGTGGCTGGCTGTGTGGCTGGGTGGCTGACTCCTAGCATCCTCCTCTCCTTGTTCTCTTGCTCTTTCTTCTTTACTTTCAAATTTCTCTTTCTATTTGTTCTCTCTCCCTGCCAGTCCCACCTATCCTTTCTCCTGCCTTGCTATTGGCCGTTCAGGTAATTTAGACAAGAGAACTAACACAGCTTCACAGAGTTAAACAAATGCAACGTAAAGGAATGCAACACATTTTTCCATCATTAAACAAATGTTCCACAGCATAAACAAATGTAACACATCTTAAAATAATATTCTACAACACCTATTGGGTTCATTCTTATTCAAACCACCACACATATTGAAAGGTATGAGACAGTACAGCAGTTTCAGGAGAACATGAGGCTGAATGCAGGGAAAATAAATTAAATGTGTGTTCCAGGAGAGAAGCGTCAAGAGTATGAGCTTTGGGGCAGTGCTTTGGGAAAGATTCAAAAGACGCTGAGGCAGTGAACCCTTCTTATATAGAGAAGCTAACCAGAGAGAATTGGAAATACTAGATAAGTGCCCATGATAACTCAATGCTAACAAATGGGCAAGAGCAAATGTTACTTTGTTATCATTTCATTATCATGCAAACAACACAGCTGGGAATGACACTGGTGAGGTGTGGCCTGGGGTAGTGAACAAGTTCATTGAAATAACACTGAAAGGAAAATGTGCTCCATTGTGTTAGAAAGAGCTGTAGAGGTTAATTTGTGGGCAACATTTATTGCCGTCGTTTCTTTTCTGCATTAGGCACAACGTGACTAATGTAACTGGCAGCATTTACCACTTCTCTCTTAGGCACAACACTTATAGTCAAAATTTTTATCTAAAGCAGGGCGGTGGTGGCGCACGCCTTTAATCCCAGCACTCTGGAGGCAGAGGCAGGTCTCTTTGAGTTGGAGTCCAGCCTGGGCTACAGAGTGAGTTCCAGGAAAGGTTCCAAAGCTACACAGAAAAACTCTGTCTCAAAAAAAATTGTTTTGACCTAGCTCAAGTGTGTAGACTGATCACCTTCAGCTGTGTTATCACTGTCTCTGTGATACCTACCACCGTCGTCTTGTCTCTGACACCTGGGATTTGTCCTGTGGGATGCATACTATCGGTGAATGTGCGCTCATTCCTGTATCAAGATAGCTTAGAGGAAACAGAACAGAAGAATTAGATTATGCAGAGAACAGGGATATATAGTAATGGGAACATAGATTATGTCATCAAAATTAAGGCTGTTAGGAAACGGGAGTGAAACAGTAGAGCGAAGAGTTTTAGGAATTCAGGAGGCAGAGGGGAGTTCTGGGGGAGGTGGAGAGCACATAGATAAAAATGACTATTTATATAAAGGCACTGCTGAGAGAACCAAGCATAAGGAGAAAAGCAGGAGGGCAGCAGCTTTGAGAGGAAAGTGCACCAGTGCCTTACAGGCCAGATAAAGCAATCTGCATGCAATGTCCACAGAGAGTTTTACCCAGAAGCACAAAGTACAAAAATTGGATAGGAGAAGAAAAACATGTTGATATGGTTTGCTAACATTCGGGACTTTGAGAGTTTATGTATAAATATAATTAAAAATCCTGAAGTAATAGGGAAAAACTAGATCAGTTCATTTAAGTGGTGGAAGGGGGGGCGGGAAATCCAGAGAGAACTTGTTCATAAGTTAAGGGCTATAGTCCATGTCAGGGGAGGTCTGTGTTTAGAGTGAGAAGTGACAGGAAATGAGGGCAATCTGAAGGCTCTCTCCCCAGCAGTCCATTTCCTCCAGCTAGACTCAATGTGCTAAGGGTTCCTCTACACCCCAAAATGGCGCTGCAAGCTGGGGACCAAGTGTTGATGAGCTTGTGGGTAGCATTTTTATATCCCAACCACAACAAGGGCCCGACTCCACTCTACTTTAGCCAGGATCTTGCTGGTCATTTCACCATTTCCACTGCAAAGAGCTTCAAATATGATCACTCTGCTTCCAATTATTTTTTTCATGATATGTGGGAAAAGGCATGAGTCTTTCAGTCACAGACGCACTAAACTGAGGCCATGTTCCTTCTCCTCTCCATTTGATCCTCCTTCATATATGCTCCCTTTCTGTAAAGTGGCTTTTCTTCATCCACTGGTTTAAGCCAGTTATTTAGAAGAGTATTTTTTAAACGAGGGACTCTGAAGATTGTTGAAACACTTCCTGCTATTATTAGTAGGTTTTACATTGTTTGTCATTTCCACTTCTTCTCCTTCCTCCCAAATGACTTGATTTTTTATCACATTTTAAGGTGTAGTTTAAGCTCATAATTTATGGAATGAACAAAATGTGCTATTGCTGTAAATGTGGGTGGAGATGGAAGCCGCCACATACACATTCACATGCATTTGAGCCTGTGGTTAGCTGAAGGCAGAGTTACGGGAAGGACGGGCTCCCAACGGGACAGGTCAAGCAGAGCATGTTGAGAACCAGGATTGGTGCTAGAATTGCTGTCCAGGAGAAGGTGGGGAGAGAAAGCGTGCAGAAGAAAATGTGTGTCAGTTAGCACAGGAAAGGTAACAGCCCCTTGTTATCGTAAGTGTTTTGATTTTATTGTTTAATGAGTGGTGAAGAGCATGGAGTGACTAGAGACAAAGGTGACGGAGCAGCAGCTCACTCCGGTTGTTGCATGAAGAAATATGGAAGGCAGCGAACCAGAGCAGATTGGTTGGAAAGTGTTAACGATCTGCGTGAGCAGTGTGGGCCTTGGAGTTGTGATGGGAAGTGGTTATGCAGAGGGACATACTGCGAGACGGAACTCAGAACACGGGAGCAGAGTCTCGGAGGCCACCCCATTTGGTCTGAGCAGTAAAATGATGTTGCCGTATTCTGGGTTGGCAACAGGAAAGTGAGTGGGAACATGCAGTTTTGCTGCTTTATATGAATTTCGCCTCTGCCCCCATCAAGCGTTTAATGAAGACAGGAAAGAACTAATTAATAAAATAAAGGAGGAATAACCACATACAGCAACAAAGAACACTTGATAACACTCAAGATTAAAAGGATTTTTATAATCAATAATTTATTTGTTCTAACACTCTGAACAAAATTAAATGGAGTTTGTTGAGATAAATATAATTTATAATAAATTCATAATGGATAGACAGGCTTCGGTGAAATGAGCTCAAAAAGTGAGTTAAGCAAGGAAATCCTACTGTCCTAACACACAACAGGGTCCCAAGAAAGTAAAATACACCCTGTAGAACGTTATTATTCATTATCACTGCAGATTAACAAATACGATGTTTTTCTCAGATCCTAGATTCATCAGTGCCCATCTCATCCCAGAGAGTGACAACCCTGAAGATGACAAAGTGTATTTTTTCTTCCGAGAAAATGCAATAGATGGAGAACACTCTGGAAAAGCCACTCATGCTAGAATCGGCCAGATATGCAAGGTGAGGTAAAGAAAAAAATGCATCGTTCATTTACAATTTCATTTCATTTCACTTTCCACTGATGTAGAAGAGGTTAAAATGTATCTAATGACAAATGTTTAAATGTTAAAATGATTGAAAAAGATATTAAAGTTAATACTTTTGAGAAAGTTGTAAGGTCAAACATATAAATAGAGATATGGTTAGAGATCATGAGGTGCATTACTTCTCAATTGCATTCATTACCTTGTTTTCAAACCATGGACTAGAAAGTATTTTCCTGCATGAATAAGTATAAATTATTACCTAGAAGAATATACCTCCTCATTTTCAGATTCAGCAGTTTTCTACACTAATATGTTTTTAAGTTTTGTTTTGTTTTGTTTTTTGTTTTTTTCGAGACAGGGTTTCTCTGTGTAGCTTTTGGAGCCTGTCCTGGAACTCATGCTGTAGACCAACCTGGCCTCAAACTCACAGAGATCTGCCTGGCTCTGCCTTCTGAGTGCTGGGATTAAAGGCGTGTGCCACCACTGCCCAGCACTAAGTTTTGAATGGATATTTGGTATCAGAATACAGATAAAGCATTGAATACTGAGACAAAGTTACTATAGCTAATTTTTACAAATTGATAATTCCATCATACACATAGGCCCTTATTCAAACACATACAAATGCCTGAATTAGGTGATCTGATATTTATTTTTTAGAGGACTAGTATTTAATATGTGTAATGTTATATTATAGTGAAATAGAAGGAAAAAAATCTGCAGTATCTTTCTAATCTCGTTCTTATCACATTATGATCTGATGATATAGTACGATTGATTTCTAAAAAGCCTCCTTTGTTATTTGGAAACATAGAACTTCATGTAAATAAATCAGACATTTTTATAAAAATAAGTAAGTTTAAAGTATTAGCTACAAAGTTATTAAAAAAGCAGCATAATAGAAACACTTGATAAACAGAATTTAAATGGATGTTCTAATTTTAAGGAAACTGTTCTTGCAACATGTGTACATATAAATTAGTTTTAAAGATTGTGTCTTCTGGTAAATACATACCTTTGCATTAGAATTCAGAGTTATATTTACATTACAATTAAGTTTTATTTGCAGCAATTAGATATTTTCAAAATACTTTCTAAGGAATATTTTCTCAACCTACTGATTACGATGTATAAGTAGTTTTAATATTTATATGTTTATACCACAAGCTGTTTGGTTGTGTTTAGTGTTAGTAGCATGACTTTTTGGTGGATTTGTTGTCAATGAAGATAATAAGCAATGCACTCATCATTCATTCAATGGATACCCGGTAAAGGCCTATTTTATACCCAGTAGCATCCCTGATTCAGGCTGCAGGGGTCGGTAAGATTCAAAGGAAAAACTGGCTCAGTAGGAAGAGGGAGAGCTGGCCTAACACAGAACAAACATAATATTAATAATTGTCCATTAAGTGATAGTACAGCGTGGAAGAGGGAATTTCCTTTAAAATTGTTTTAATTTCAAAGGTTGCATACATTTGTCACATACAGTATATCATTTTGATATTTATAAAGGGATAAATCAATCAAATCAATGCATGTTTGAAATCATATATTTTTATTCTATGTGTTAACAATACTTAAAAATTATACTTAACAACTTTTTAAGAATATAACATTAAAACTGCCTGTAGCGATCATGCTGTATAACAGATATCTTAAATGTGTTCTTCCTGTCTATTCAACATTTCCTATCCTTTGGCCAATTTGTCTTCAAATTCTGCTGTTCTAGGCTGGGTGGGTCACCATTCTGCACACTGCTTTTGTGAGTTCAACATTTTGGACTCATTTTTACTTGGGGTCATATGATATTTATATTAATATATCTGGCTAAATTTAACTATCATGTCCTCTTGGTTTAATCACATTAAATGGCTTAATAATATTTCATAGTACCTATATTCCAAATTGGCTAGTCTACTCTTATTAATGGACAAATGTAACATTTAAGGACTATTATGGACATTCCCTTTACTGAACATTGGATCAAAAATTTGAGCAAAATATAATAAGTAAGATAATAATAATAAGATAATAGTTATATGCAGTCATTTAGAGTGGCTATGTCACATTTGAAAAATGAAGAATGGGAAAATTCTTGGTTGCAAAGAAAGATGCCTTTTTAAAAAATTAAACAGAAAAAATGAAGAATTGCATTTATGTGCCTGATGTTAAGAAATGGGAAATAGAGACTATTTCACACTACTGCATATGCTTGCTCTATAGAGTAGCTTGTGTTGCCTTTCAGAATGACTTTGGTGGACACAGAAGTCTTGTGAATAAATGGACGACGTTCCTGAAGGCACGCCTAATTTGCTCCGTGCCAGGCCCAAATGGCATTGACACCCATTTCGATGAATTGCGTAAGTGGCTGATGTTTGATGCACAGGACATATGTGAAGTGCTTAGTCTTACAGCAACTTGATACAGCATGTTTTGTTGATATTCATGGGAGACCTGCCGTTCCTGAACAGAAACGGAGGGGAGAGGATTTAGGGGTGGGAATAGAGGAGGGGTGAGGAGCAGAGGCGAGGGGGGGGGCAGGAGGGAGGGCAAACTGCAGCTGGGATGTAAAATAAATAATAAAACCTTTTTCTGATTGTGTTTTCAAACAGAGGATGTCTTCTTAATGAACTCTAAAGATCCTAAAAATCCGATTGTCTACGGAGTGTTCACAACATCGAGGTAAACGGGTTTTTTATTATTATTTTGGACAATTGCACATCCTGTAGCTGCTTTAGTGGCTTCCGTTTTCGAGTGTCTGTGAAACCTTGCTTCTGGAATGCACTCATACTGATTTGATTAGTTCTTTGCTTTTACAGATCATGGGGGCGGGGGCTGTTGAGAAGGCTCCTGGGGTGAAGGTGTTTGCTCCCAAAGCTGACAACCAGAGTTGGATCCCGGAACCTACGTGGTGTAGAGAACAGGCTGAAACAGGTTGTCCTCTGAACTGGGCATACACAGTGGCACATGTTTGCGCCTCCTCACCACATACATGTAATAAGAAATTTAAGCATGTAATGCAAGAATATCATCACTACCAATAGAAGAGTGAAGCAGTTTGGAAACTGTATGTTGTAGCCTATGTAATACAACGTAATATTAATAAAAATATAACATCAACTTTAAATATTTAACAAGATGTGGGTCATAAAGAAGCTTTTAGTGATAGAAAAGAAGAATAAAGCAACTGGATATGGAACCTCGAAGTGTAACAACGGCCTGACCCACTCTGTCTCCATCGCTTTCATCAAATGCTAATGAAACGAAGGTGAAAGGCAAGCTAGGATATCAATGGTACCAGTGGTTTCCCTGGAATGAAAGCCACCTCTCTGGACAGGTGGTTGACAGAGAACTTAAGAGAAAACACGTCTCGTGTCCGAGCAGTTGGGCAGCCTTCCCATGGCTCTCACACTGCTTAAAAGTCCTTGCTACATCTTCCTACATATTTCCTCAGAATTTAACAAAAATTTACAGATTTAGAGAAAGTAAAAAGCTGACAAATTAACTATTAAACCGTTTGTAGAAACTTTTTTTTTTGAGATTATAATAAAATTACAATCGTCCTGCTTCTTTCATTTCTTCAGACCTTCCCACATACTGCTCCCCACTGTCCTCAAATTCCTGGCCTTCTTCATTAACTTCTTCATTCTTAACTGTGATTGCCTGCATACGTATGGAGATGTGATACACACGTGTTCTTAAATAAAACCTACTCAGACACTTCTACAAACACTATTACAACCTTTCATAACATTTCAATTCATGTGTATGATTTTACATATTTTACATGCAGTATAATATACCATATTTATTATATCAAAGCTGTCTAAAGTTAGCAAATAGATTTTCTCTTTTTTTACTCTAATTACTCTTTACTTTGATGATTTCCTTGACTTTTTTCATTAGCTACCTAAAATCCAAAAGTTTAAAAGATAATCTTATTAAAAGATTCCTTAAATGCAATCCAGAGCTGGAGAGAGAAAGCCGAGAGCCAAGTTCCCACAGGTTTGTGTGTGTGTTCTGCTTAATACGCAGTTCCGAATTCAAGCTTCCTTTCCCCTCTTCCCATTCCACTCCTTGTACATTTCTCACCCTCTCCTGCTGTCCATGCCCTCGCAACCTGTCATCAGCCTGCTCTTTTCCCTTTCCAGTTTTTCCCAGAGTTCTTGCTCTCAATGAAGAAGCAATTGCTTAATCTTGCTGTCAGACAACTACCCTTCTACTCAGCATAATGTTCAAACTATCTGGAGCTTTTTTGGGAATAAGTACACACATGGTTATTAGTAAGCATATGTATTGAGGGATAGCAAATATTTAAAAATAATATTGAATCAACTAAGAAGTGCTGGAGGTGACTATGGTCATTTAAAGTGAAAGATTGATTGTAGAATATTATTCTGGCTTATTTATAAATATTAAAGACATTTAAATCACTTTGACATCATCACTTAATATAATTAACATTAGACATGAAGAGACATATATTACTAAGTCTATATGCAAGTCCTTCTGCCTGTGCATTAGTGACCTTTGTGTTAATAACTCGACAACTGCAATAAAAACTGTGGAGTGTGAGTGGCAACTATCAGTGTGTCTTTCTCTTTTCCCATTTCCTAGGGCAGCAGCCCTTCTCAGACTTGAATGTGTATGAGGATCACCAAGAACGTGTTAAAACTCAATTTCTCTATTCTACGAATCATATATACAATTTTTATTATAAAATATAAGCAATAAAAATTCATGTGATAAATGAATTTATCACTAGAGTTTCTGACCCTATAAGAATGAGTTGTACCTAACAATCTGCATTTCTAAACAATCTATAGGTAATTCCCATGCTAGTATTTGGACAATCAATATTGACAGTGTTTAACAGGTGAAATAATTTCTTCACTCTTTTCAATAAGATAGGTAATTGGTGGTAAATTACTCTAGATTGTATATCTCAAACTTCAGAGCTATCTGATTCATCAGGATTATTAAATTTGTAACAATAAAAAGGGGTATATGCAAGAAATTTGCACTGAAAGTGGGATACATCAAATGTGTCTCAGTTTGTTATTTATTCTATCATGAAAATATTAAATGCTATGCATATTTATTGAGGTTAGTCCTAAGTCATGTACTCATGTTAAATGGTTGGTAGAGCCCAGCAGACATTAGCTTCTTCCCTCCTGCATCATTGTCTAGTGAGCAATTTTTATAGCTTAGGAACCTGTGGTTCTTGTGTGGTTTACGTGGGATTTCAATGTGACTTATAGGTAATTTTCCATAGCAAGATATCAGCCCTAAGATAAAAATTTCCATATTGTGAATGTGTACACCATTATATTTTTAAATAAAATATTACATAAGCTGTGTTTTTTTGCAAACAAAGTAAATGTAACATAGTTTCATCTCAATGAAAAACACAGTTATTTCAATTGCTTGCTTTTGATTCATGGAATGATAGGAATATCTACCATAATTCTCCACTTTGACCATTGAGTAACAGCTATGACCTTAAAACTATGCTCAGTGTTTTATCCATAGATTTCAGATCCAACTCAGTTACTTCAGTTCATACCTTGTTGGTTTGGGAGTTTAAAATATTATAGTGTGACATGCCATGTGGCGTTGTACAATACTTTAGAGCACCAGTTTTGGCTTTTAAAATAACCCTTTAAAGATCCTTGATACTGTGATAGTTTTCTTCTGTAATGATACTTGAGGGTCAAAGAGAATTTTTAGCTTTTATTTCTTTATGACATCAAAACCAAATATGCATTCAGAGGTGATCATCCATATATGTCTTTCCTGTTCAGCTTTAATAGTTTATATTTGATATGAATGTACATATTTGATGAATAACAGACAAGATTTCACACACTTTTAACAAATCATGATTTATTCCTATACATTTATAAAATACATCGATGAGACCAAACTAATCTTAAACAATATTTGTGATTGCAAAGACTCTGTTTGTTTGATCACTAACATCTGAAACATAATAACAAAGTCCAAGCCATCCCATTGCCACTGACTGGAGATAATGCCAGTTTCTATTCTCTTCCCTCCTAGCAACATCTTCAAGGGATCTGCTGTGTGTATGTACAGTATGAGTGACGTAAGAAGAGTGTTCCTTGGTCCATATGCTCACAGAGATGGCCCCAACTATCAGTGGGTGCCTTATCAAGGAAGAGTGCCCTATCCACGGCCGGGAACTGTAAGTGACTTTGATAATTAACACATGGAATGAATATATTTCTGACAAATAAAACAAATAACTTCAGGTGTAAACATTAGCACAACATAGAACAAAGAATCCATGACCATAAATAGAAGTCCAAGCCTAGGATTCTGTGTGGTCCCCTGTAATTCCACATGTAAAGTCATATTCACTGCACCTGCCAGTATTTAAATTCTTTCCTTACCATTCTACGTCCCTACATTTTTTAACAAAATAAGAATGAGCAGCCTATGCACTTCCTCTTCTGAGCAGAACACTGAGGAAATGGCCTTCATGGAACACTGAATTAACAGGAGGCATATGGGCTCTCTCTCTCCGATGTGAGGATGCTACTCATTCTGATTACATGGAAGGCTGTGCTCAGAGAAACAGTATTAAAACCAACATTATCACCCAGTGGTTTGGAATTGAGCTTGCAACATTATTACCCCAATGAAATTGTGTCAAACTAAATGAAAAAGTCATGTAGCAAAACATTTTTAAAAAATACATATAAAGAAACACATTGATATGATACAAGTCCAGGGTAGTCAGCCTAAAGACCATGTCAGAAGTAACATTTTCTTTAAGCCGGTTGGGAGTGGAGAAAGACTCTATTTTAGATGGCACATTACTGTCCATCACTGCAGGGAGCCAAGGTAGGGCTGGAAGCAGAAGCCCTGGAAGAACACTGCTAGATGGCTAGCACCCTCACTTTTGCTAAGGTTGCTTACTTATACCACCCAGGAGCTCATGCCCATAATGGCACTGCCCACGGTGAGCTGGGTCCTTCTACACCAGTTAGCAAGCAAGAAAACGTCTCACAGATGGCACTGGGCTAAGTCTGTTTGTAAGATGAAGCTGATTAGAAGACTCGCCCATGAGCCATTTTTTGTTTTTTGTTTTTTTGAGGCCTCATGATTCTCCCACCCCATTTCTCTATTGAACTATACAATTTAGTGTGTCCTGGCTTGTATCACAGCCTCGCACCCCAAATGTTTAGTGACTAGATCATCTCTATACATGTGTGCCAGAACTACATGTTCATGAGGCTCCTGGCCCAGGTCATTTCTTGCCTGTCGCAACTAAGAGTAACATTTTCTAATTATAAGGAAATTTAAGAAAAATAATTTTAGACAGTGAAAAAGATTACATTTAAAATTTAGGTATTGCTTTAATTTCACTTCAGTGTTTTAATAGTCTGATGGATTCAAGGAAAGTATTTTTTAATACCTTACTAGATATAGGGCATTTAGTATTCTCATTTTCTCTGCATTCCTAAAATTATTTAGGAGAAAATTAAATATGTTGTGCTTTATAAAAATTGCTCCTGGCTGCTGTTGATGTAACAACAACAAAAAAACCTCCAATACAATTTGAAAATAATAAATGACTAGATGGAATATTTTTATTATAAGGAAACAAATGAGATATATGAAAACAAATGTATTTACTCCAGCTTTTAATAACAAATTGTCCTCTCTTTCTTAGGAGACAGATTTATATTCCTCTGTCTGACAGGACTCCATGTCTAAAATACTCTACTGAAAATACATTTTAATCTGAAAATAAATTATGTATGTAAAATCAGTAACAGCAATTAAGATACGGAAATTGCTCTATTCTAGGCTTTGTTCTATGGGATGTATTGTACTGGAATACACACACAACCACACAACCACACACACACACACACACACACACACACACACACACACACAGTATAGACATCAGTAGCCAATTATTTTTTCCCATTTCAGTGGTAGGAACTATGTTAAGTATGGTCAGTCCCATGGCTTAGTACTAACTCCCTGCTCACAGTAAGCTGTTAGGAGAAAGTGTATCAGCAAGCACTGTGCTCAGTGTTTGAGGCAGCCTTGTCCAGTGCAGGTGTGGAAGAGAATGGACAGCTCTATCAAAGCTGTGAGCTGGGACTCTGGCATTTCAACAGCACCATGAGGGGCAGTCATGAGTGCATATTTAAACAACATACTATTGGTGAAATAATTAGTTTTTTAAGATAGGCTTTCACTGTGTTGTGTAGCGCTGGCTGTCCTGGATCTCATTCTATAAACCAGGCTGGCCTTGATCTCACAGAGACCCTGCTGCCTCAGCCTCCCAAGAGCTGTGATTAAAGGCATGTGTCACCACTGCCCAGATATTACTGAAGTTTAAAGAAAATCCTATAAGCAAATTATATTTTATATTAAAAAACAGATAGTAGAGGAAGAAATTAAAAATTTTATTTTTGTAGAAAATTAAAATAATTTTATAGGAAAATTAAAATAATCCTTAACTATGGTTTTTACTCACACATTTCTACATTTGTGCCTGATGTCTTTACACAATGTAAAGGAGAACACAAAGATCCTTTTTTTTAAAAATTCACTCTGTATTTTCTGATTGTGGGTATTTTGCCTGCATATGTCTGTCCACCACATATGTACAGACCCTGAGAAGTCCAGAAAGGGCATTGGGTACCCTGGGACTAGAGTTACAGATGGAGATGAACCATCTTGCGGGTACTGGAAATCATACCCAAGTCCTCTGGAAGAAGTCACGCCATCTCTCTAGCGCTCTAAATAATCTGAGAAGCTTTTGAAGTTTTGTATTGCAGATGTAACCAACTGTCTTATTAAATAAGAAACACAGAACCAATGTAAAAGAGAAAGCCAAGAGGTCAGAGCTCAGAGCTAAAATCTCACCCTTCCTCCTGCTGTGGTCCTAGCTCTCCTAAAAGGAACTACTTCCTGTGTGTACGTCTTTTCATAGTCTTTTTGTTCTGCCTTCTCATTGGTTGTAAACCCAAACATGTGACTGCCTCGTCACTGTCTCTATGTACAGCCCCCCAAGTCTTAAAGGCATATGTCTCCAATGCTGGCTGTATCCCTGAACACACAGAGATCTACCTAGCTCTTCTACCAAGTGCTGAAATTAAAGGCGTGTGCCACCACCGCCACACTCTTGCTTGGCTCTAATAGCTCTGACCCCCGGGCAACTTTATTTATTAAATACAATCAAAATCACATTTCAATACAATTAGAATACCACCACATTGCATTGTTTCTTATAAGTTTTAATGTGGATATTTGATATTTCTATAACAATATTTAAATAAATTTCTCATTTACATCAAAACTAGAAGTATATTATTTTAGTATCATATATAATCCATGTTCAGGTCAAACATGTATGCATAGATAGTATTCTCATTTCAAAACTATTTAATAACTCATGAATTATTAATGAATTTGTCAAGTAACAGGCAAGAGGTTGATTTCTTATTCTAATCTTGTAAGATAAGGATCATATCCTAATTATATTTTATCTCTCAAGCACTTACATTCAAAGTTAGGCATTACTGAACTGTAGGACAAGATATGTAAGACTGGGTATACTGTATCCTATGACACTGTTCTACATAGTGATCACAGTGAGGAGACAATAAACCTTAATTTTCTCTTGTCTTTTTATTGACTTTTAAGAATATTTCCATCCAGAGTTGATATACTGCCAGCTCACAAAAACACATTCTTTCTAGCTTTGTGTGCCAATATGTATTTATCCAATCCATGTTGCCTCCATTCTGATTGGTTAGTTTCTGTGCCATAGATGCTAAATAAGGCAGGAATTATTTTATTTTATTAACGCCATTAATAATGTTTTCAACTTTATGTTATGAGACATATAACAACATATAACAATAAAGAATAGTTTTTATTATCTTTTAGTTGGGGTAGATCATTTATATTTGGGTGTGACTCAAGAAAAGTAGTGTTTCTCTAAATGTCATTAGTTGCATTTAATTACAGCATATTTTATGCATCATTTTAAACATCTATTATAGAAACAAAGCACAGGCTGGTGCAATTAACATGGGTGTCAGACTTCTCCAGAATCCAGAACACCTCAGATACATTTGCAAGTTTTGTAATATATGTATTATTGTATATGATATAAGTAAACATTCATTAACATTGAGAATTAATACTTGTTTAGAAATATACACTGATAATTTCATCTACTAATTTAGATACAGAAGAGCTGGTGATAGCTAATACTTACTTAGTCAATTTCAAATAGCGTGAAAAATAATTACAGGTTTAGACTCACAGACTATTGAAGAAGTGTTATTTTATAATTTATACTCTTAATTGTTAGATTTTGTTTAAAAGGTATTCTCTTTTTTTCTAATAGTGTCCAAGTAAAACATTTGGTGGATTTGACTCCACAAAAGACCTTCCTGATGATGTCATAACCTTTGCAAGAAGTCACCCAGCCATGTACAATCCAGTATTCCCTATTAACAACCGCCCAATAATGATCAAAACAGATGTAAATTATCAGTTCACACAAATTGTTGTAGACCGAGTCGATGCCGAAGATGGCCAGTATGATGTCATGTTCATCGGAACAGGTACACTTTGAATTTCAACTATATATTTTCTTCCAGCATACTGTCTTTATATACAGAATAATCTATCATTAAAAATATGTTATCAAGTGCCAGGGACAGGTCCCAATACCACTGCTAGGAGCCTCACAAACAGACCAAGCCACATATGCAGAGGACCTAGGTTGATCCCATGTAGTCTCCCTAACTGTTAGAGCATAGTCTCTGTCAGCTGTCTCTGTGAGTTCCTCTCTCATGACCTTGACCCACTGGCTTGTACAATCCCTCCTTATTTTCTTAAGGATTGGGACCTATCTCTGGGGCTTGGCTGGGTTTTGAGAACCTGTGCCCCATGCTGGATTGCCTCAGCTAGCATTTGTGCAGGGGGAGGGGCTATATCCTTCCTCAACTTGGTGTGTGCTTTGTTCAAGCCCATAGGAGGCCTGCCCCTTTCTAGGTGGAGACCAAGAGGGAGTGGATGGGAATGGGGATAATGGGAGTGTTAACAGGGAGCAGGAGGAGAGGAGGGAGGGAAAACTGTGGTTGGTGTGTTAAAAAAAATGAAAAAATGCTAATTAAATAAAACAAAACCTCCCAATACACAAAAAGTTATCACTTTGTAGTCACAGTGCTTAAAATAAATTTTCTTTCAACTTGATCAATGCAATCAAGTATATTTAATAACTAAATAATCAATTATCATAATTGAATCATAATTCTTCTGGTTAGTAACACACACACACACACACACACACACACACACACACACACACACATAATTGCTCAAAGCATGACTGAAATTCCTTAAATCAGGACTGAAATTCCCAGTGAATTGAATAAGTGTCCAAGAATGTGTTACTGCAAACTTATAAGAACTTTAACATCACCACTAATGAAAACCTTCAATCAAATAAAGGTTACCAAAATTATCTGCTCATTGTTTCTGCCTTACAAATGAAACATGAAAAAAAATTTTATCAGAAAATTGATTCAACATTCATCAGATGCTTTTCTTTAGAACTGTAATGAAATCTTTTCACTAAGTTCACTTTTAGAACAAATTTCTGCAGCTATATTTTCAGACTCAGTCTTATTATTACTCTGACGTGTGATTTTGTGTTCCCATAATCTCTAAATGGTAAAGCTGTTTATGAAAGTACTGGTTACAAATCTGAAACTTGCTACTTGATGTCAGATTCCAAGGTAATAAATTCCTAGTCTCCATTAACTTCATTAACTGACATAAATCAACAAGAAACAAAACAAAGCAAGTGCTCCACCGAAACCTTGTACAATAGCATTTATTTTCCCTTGTGAGAAACACAAAGACAATTACGTTGACTACACCAGAACAGAAATGTGTAGTAAAATTACCTGAAGATTCATAACTTAATTGTGAAATTCTGATGTTACCAGGTTTAACAGTGTCAGGTTCTTAACAGTACATTACAGCCTCTTATGGATAAGAACATTCCTCTACCAAATAGAAGAATCCAAATGAGATTCAGTGTTCCATAAAAGGCAATGACTGTGTATAGTACCTACAGGTTACAAATGAAATCAGGAAATACAAGATAGTATTTCTTTTCAGTAAATATTCGCTTGTCTTTAAATGTCAAATTATAATTGAATCTCTGCAGAATAATTGGGTTTGTTGAACAATGTCACACCAGCCTTGTTCTCCGTCTCTAGTTCAGAAGTCCCTTATTCACTCTCAAAGTGACAAAGCCTGCTTCTGGGTATTTGACCAAAGCAAACCAATCATGAGCATTTAATTTCTCTAGGACACAAACTGCCTTTAAAAACCCCATTTTCATGAGGATGTTGAACGAACGTTAGATAATGTGGATGGTTGTAGGTCAGTACAGACCAGGGTCATCTGTCATCAAGTTAATTGATTACAGTAATTTTATCTTTTAACTAAGTTTCACTTCATAGCACATGGATCCTTGTTGAGTAATCTGATTCAATTTGTGTGAAATTGTTTGAAATACTATTCGGTAAAACTTGATCTGGAACACAGATAAAGTTGTGTTTGGGTCCAGGAGACCCAATGGAGTCACTAAATAGATTAACCTAATTTCCCTTTAATCTTTGGTGTTATGAGCAGGCTAAGGTCCTGTAAACACAGAAGGATCCTCTTAAAAGTGGCCTTTTTTAAACTTTAGAAGGGATAGCCTTGATCACACAGAGTACATTGTGCCAACCCGCTGAGAATGGCCAATAGAATGACTAGATTAGGTTCTGTTTCTGGGATAGCACTCCTTATTATTCTCATTGTAAGAATCTCTTTGAAAAAAGATAAAGTTTGTTAAAAATAAACCAACTGAAGCTTCAAAGAATTGATCAAATTTACTCAAAACTGAAATTGTTTAGAATTAATGTCTTAACCCTGCTTGCCTTCTAATGAAGAATGGAATCGCACCTGGAACACAGGGAAATCCACGTTTCAGGTCTTTTCATGACAGCATTTTTTCTCTTGATAATGAAAATTAGATAGTAGTTTAAATCCCTATAAAATAAATCCAATTTTTTTATAATTCGCAATCCTAAATTTAAATTTCTCTAAGACTCTAGAATTGACTTCCAAGTGTATGTATTGTAGACAGAGTATTATAATCTGAAGTGTTTATTTTGAGAAATCTCATTATCATTCATCACTTCAGCATCATTGAGCCTGCCTTAAGGGCCTCTAAAGTGCGGCAGCTTCTAGGAAAGGGGTGTGCTGCTGAATTTTGAGGCTCTTGTACCTGGGATGGGCAGTATCCCTTACATTTCACATCTACAGAGTCTTCATGGACATATGCTGGTTTCAAAATAAAAGTGGAAAAGTCTGTCATGTCAAATTGTTTTCTTTCTCTCTCCACAAGTACACACACACATATACACAAACACACACACACAAACACACAGACACAGACATATACACATAAACACATATATATGTATATTCTAGAATACATGCCAGTTAAAGAAAATTTAAAACAAAATAAAAAAGCTATCCAACTTAGCCATGTTGTTTTTAATATATTTTTGAGAATTTCTATACGTTCAGATTAAATTCTTTTTTAATGTTTGATACCGTTCAAAAATCGATTTTTGTGTTCCAAGGCTATCTTTATAGTTTATAGTCTAAATGCGTAAAATGCACTTGTATGTAGAAGTTTACTAATGTATCCACATGGAAAAGAAATACAAAGAACCAGGTTGGAAAAACCTTTTGGTGAGGCTGGGGAGATTGCTCAGTGTGTAAAAGTGCATGTTTTAGTTGAGAACTTGGGTCCAGACCCCCGGAAGACACAGAAGTGTGCTGTAATCTCGGCATCTCTCTGGGGAGGTAGGAGGTGGCCTCAGAAGCTGGCAGGTCAGTTAACCTGAAGTAGGAAGCATGGAGTCACCAACAATGGAAGTGGTCCACCTCTAACAAAGAAGTTTTCTCCTGAGCTTGCCGAGTGTGCTGTGGCTAACACTCATACTTCCCATTCCACAAGTTAAAAACAAAAAAAGCTTTTTGCAAAAATCCTTGTTGTCCCTTTAGGGGTAAACTCCATTCTAACCTACCTCCACTGTAACCTTCTCCTCTGCTTTCTTTTAAAGATGTTGGGACTGTCCTTAAGGTGGTCTCAGTCCCCAAGGAGACATGGCATGACTTAGAGGAGGTTCTTCTGGAAGAAATGACAGTCTTCAGGGTGAGTGCCGCCTAATTTCCAACATCCCCAGATTCAGGTGCATATCTGTCCCCCAAGACAAATGGACACTGTAGTTGCCGTGGACAGCGCCCTTGTAGACATTCCTAATTAGATTGTCAAGTACAAAACCTTACACTAATGAAAATAAATCTTGGAAGTGTTAGTGCAATTAAATGTAAGGATATAAAATTCTTGGCTCATATTTTCTTTTTTAAATGAGAAAATTTATGATTTACATTTTGTATCATTTCTATAAGTTACCTTGAAGATCAAATATCTCCCAATTCAAAATTTCTTCTCTTGCACTTTATAGTATATCTGCCATGATATGTAAGCCCTGTGAGCTTTTGGGGAGATACATTTAACATGCCAAGGGAAGAATGATATCTCAGCTAATTCCTACATTATTTTGTATTTTTCTTAAGAAAATCAGTGCTTAAGTTTGGGTAAGTAGGCTTATGTTAGTAGCAGATAATTTATAATAGATGCCCAGTCTTCAAACTTCAAAAATGGACAAATATTTGTCTCCTTTTCCTGAGTTACCAATGGTATGGGGAGGATCTTCAAGTATTAGGTATATTGAGGTTGGAGCAGGGGCACAGGAAATAGATCAACATAGATATTATACATGTTGCTCATTTTAGGGTGCTTGCCAACTGGTAAAGTTTGAACAGATATCACACTTTGATATGAATTATATGTAAGACAAATAACATGCTTATTTAAAATATTTTGATAAAATAATACAGTGGGTACTTACTCATAAATCTAGATATATAAAATAAAGTTGAATACCAAGAGACAAGTAGACAGAAAAGAGGAAACAAAATCATGTGATATCATTTGTGCTTCACATGTGTCACATAGGCATACAGACACTTTATATATATATATATATATATATATATATATATATATATATATATATGCACTAGATTATAATTTTCAGTTGACTCAGCATTTAATGTTGAAGCTAAAGCTAAATGCCCCTCACTCCTTTTTGGACTCCATTTATATGCAGATGTACTTGCCTCATGACTTGGGAATCACTGTTCCATTGTCTTTTGAAGAGAAAATAAAGTAAAAATTGCAGAAAATGAAGTAAAAATTCAATTAGAATTAGAAATGTCATTCAAACATGTACCTGGTAAACTGTGGGCTAGATCTTTGATAATAACAGCTGAATAATCTTCTACTGGAAAGTTTAGAATCCTCCTTTTAACCAGCATAACAATCGTTGCTTCACTCAATGCCTCTAAAACTCTTATTTGCAAAATATTGACTATAGTACCTCACCCAGAGACCCATGCTTCTAGCACTAGGGATGGTGACAGCATTGTGGCCCATATGCTATCAGGCTTTTTGGTGGTACTGTACCTGCTTCTGTTTTCTTTGGTGGGCAGTATCTCCTGTATGCCAGGCTGGCCTTGAATTCACTGTGTAGCTGAGGATGGCATTGAACCTCTGATCCTAATGCCTCCACTACCTGAGGACTCTAACTATAAGCATGTGCCACAATGCTCAACTGGAATATTATTAATATTTATTATTTTATTGTTTTCAGTCATCTAAACTGCACACAAGTAGACTTCCTTATAAATGTTCTGTGTGCCCTTAATTTAAATATTCAAAATAGTAAAAATCACAGTTCCAATATTAAAAATTGATTCTCCTGGCCATTTTTAAATGTTGAGTATAGAGTATGAACTGATTCTTAACATGCATTATTCCAAGTGAGTTACCTCAAAAAGCATTGGAACTTTAACCTGTAAATTGAAAACTACAATTATCTAAATGGGCTGTCATGCACTATAGAGTCCATTTAGATTAGCAAACAAATTATGGGCAATGTGGACTAAATTCATAAATGGCTGCCTGGAATTCATTGTTATATCTCTAAAGCCTAAAGTATAAATTCAGTCAACATTTATTAAATTAATGAAACGGTACCAATGCAAAAAACTAAATATGATAAAGATTGTAAGATTCCTTTTCAAGGACTCCAGTACTCAAGTAAGACTGAAGAAGAGGGGGGAAGGTCCATCAGAAAGAGAACCATGAAGTCCTGGTGATCTAATCCCATACCATTCTTTAATAAAAGCGAAAAGAACCCTCATTGAAAAGTAATTATTAATGGAACTGTTGCAAAAATAAGTCATGGGTGACACTAGCAAGGCACCCTTCCTTACAAAGGCCTAATTCACAGATGTGGTGTTTTCCTTTACCTTTCATAGAATCAGGCTTTTATAAAAATTCATTTGTGTGTGTGTGTGTGTGTGTGTGTGTGTGTGTGTGTGTGTGTGTGTGTGACAGAGAGAGTGACAGACAGACAGACAGACAGAGTCAGAGGGAGGTGACTATTCTAAGAACAGTCTCTGACCTCATGCAGGTAAAAGGATCCCCTTCGTTATACATCTTAGTTTCAAAGACTGATTTTCTGTTTTCACGAAATAAAATTAAATTTTATTGTGTAGAGTCATTTTAGTCATGTTATAGCATTTATAAATAATTTTTCTCATCTTTTCATTATTTTCTGTGTTTTATTAATTAATTAAGTCATGCATATTTTGGCAGTAATTCAATATTGTAACTAAATTCTGTTTTTAATGTTTCTGAAATCTGAGGTTAACATTTGACATCTTACCTGTATTCCTTGATATATTAATAAAAATTTCAACTTGAAAGGAGTCTAATTTAATCTAAAATGACTTTTAAAATAGCATGATGGGAGCCAATAGACTTGTACATATGGATATTTAATATCTATAACATTTTGTTCTTATTTGGGGATTTTCAAAGAAGTACATTTCAAACTTACACCGGTGATGCCTTCTAAGACACATATCTATGTCATTTAATCCATATTTGGAGAAATTATTACCAATCTCTAAGAATGAAAAATTAACCTTGTAGTGTTAAGGGAGAAACTGTTTATGTATCTCAGTTGTGTTGAAGATGGCTGCAACTGGAAATCTACCTCCTTCCAGAGATGCTGCTGCCATTCCCCTCCTGGTCTCTGCTGTGCACATTGTCACGATTATTTCTTTGACACTCAAGAGGACAAAACATCCTTGGGCAGAGTTTGCAGAAATATTTACTTTCAGCATTCTATTCTAACAGCCAAAGTTCATACATATATTGTGGGCTAGCAATTGGAATATTTCACTGTCAAGCTTTGTTTAATTTTACAGCAGGGGACAGAAAAAGAAAAACCACAACACATTAAAGCAATAGCCACATACAATGAAAAAGCAGGAAAATGTCACAGTTTCTATGTTTCTATTTGACACTTGTGTCTTTCCGTGTAAAATAAAATACAGTTTAAAAAGATCAACTGAGCTGCCCCTTGGCTTGATAGGGTAAATACATAAGATAAAGATTTAAGGTCATGATCCTAGCTGGTACTCTTTTATAACTTTTAAACACATTTAATATTAAGTTAATTTACCCATTTTACTACCTCCATGAGACCATGTTGGTATGAGTCTCTTTCAGACTGAATAACCCATAAATTCTTGGATTAAAACCAGTACATACCTCTTGCCATCTTGAGATCGGTTTAGGAAAACACCCTGGCTAATCACAGAACATTCCAGTGGTTTTGGTTACAAGATACTTTTATTTGGGGTGAAATCACATCCCAATCACTGCATAGGAAGAAAAATATTCTTTGGCAATGAAATTTCCATTTCAGAGCAGAGCTTTTAATAGACTCTAAGAGGTAACGTTGGCATTGGTGTCAGACTAAGGAACTAACACACCTGCTAGTAAATATTCCGAATTGCACTGTAGCACTACCATACAGCAGACTGAAATGTGCTTCGCTAGCACTCGCCTGAGCTTGAGTGGGTTCACTATGTGCTTCTGAGTGACCTGCTTAGCTTATGGAGCATCGATTTCTTCGTATAATGAAGACTGCAATCATAAACTCATAAAGATTCTGTTTTTAGAGTAAAATTAAGCTAATTGGTAAATGTTAGTTATTGGAAAATAGTTATGCTCATAAAAATCTGTTCTAGAATGCTTGGCTTCCCTATCTTTGTCTTTTTTTAAGTTAAGGAGATATAAAAAGCCAGACACATGGTGATTTTTCACCTTAACTGGTCAGTGTGGGTTTTTCTTTCCAGTCCTTCCAATGGGCTTTCCTTTTGAGTTGGTGAAGTTTCACACGCAGCCATGGCGCCTTGGGGACAAAGGGCTTTCTTTATAGTTCTGTTGGCTGGAAAGGGTTGCAAGGCAGTGACATCAATAACACTTGCATTTTAACCCAATTTATGCAATATTCCATGAACAGCTGAGCAAACAAATGAAAGAGTTTAATTTTCATTCAAATGTAAAACATAATTGATGCTTTCCAAGCCCCAGTCTAACTTCTTCTGAAGGAGCTTCCTTTCCGGTACTGAGCATCCAGTGAGCTATATCAGAATCTCCCGGGATCAGCAGGTGAAAAAGCTTTGCAAGTGCAAAAGTTTAATAAGGACTAAATTAAAATATCTGGGAGATGTATAGTAAATTGGAGTCATAGAAAATCTTGAAAAGATGCTAAGTTTTTTATTTCATTTTTTTAAACTTGAACACCAATTCAATTTGCAATTGAAACCAATTTCATGGAAAAAATGCTTATGAAGCTACATCTGTTGTAAATGGAAGTCATATTTGCCGCTAGTTATTTCTCAGAAAAAATACAGCTTATTTAAATGGATGTCATTGTGATATATTGTGCATTAAAATTCAATTGCAGTACATATTCTAAATTGCTATTAACTTCCTGGTATAAATAATAAATAAGGTTATATTAATTAATATATGAGCTTAATCTTGAATATTGGCATAATAGTATGACTGAAATCTGATGTGTGTTCGAGTTTGTCTCCTATTTTTACAGTTTACGTGATAACCCATTTTCATCTACTTTATAGATGTCTTTCCTTTTGTATTATCAATAAATATGAAGTAGAAATGCAATCAACTCTATTTAAAAAGAACTTAGACCTCATATTCTATTACATTGGATGTTAACTTTCAATGCCTTGAAGCTTGACTATAAAATTTCTTCAATATAGACCCACATGAACTTAGTTATTTTTTTATTCGCATGAGAAATTCTCATGTGAGATGATTAGAGGGGGAGAGGTTGCCATGGAAATTTCTCCTGACACATTTAATTCCTTATTTGTTAACTTATTCCAATATTGTAAAAACCTAAAATCCCTTAAAGCAGAATATTTATCATGAAATACAGCTTTTATTTTTGTGACTTGATACTACTAAATAGTAAATATGCCCTTTCTGTGTAGACACAATGGGCTGAAATTATTTGCATCACAGTTGTCTTTGTGATTGATAATTCTATAAGAAATCATTATTATATTTAATAATTCCTATTACTCACTTAAGCTGTACAATGCCGTACAATAGAAAAGCATTAGAAATCTCTAAATTAGCCCATTAAGTTAATACACATCCTTCACCACTTGTTTCACTAGCGTGCCGGGCAGGTTGTACAGAAATGAAGAAAATCCTGTGCTCAGTTTTGCCATCAGGTGTGAAGTGGGGAGTTGGAGCTCTGCCTCTGCATGTGGGGTGGGCAGCACCAGCGTGGCCCAGCTCAGTGCAATGAAGGCTGAGGGGCAAGAATGGCAAGGGGAGCTAAAGCAGTCAGGACTGTCGGGCAGACACCAAAGAGACATGGGGAATGCTAAAAGGGAGTGATCACTGAAGGACTTGGAGGCTCAATGGAGTTTCACTGGGGAATTCTGCTTCTGAAAATGAAAGATCATCTAGAGGATGGTGAGATGGAGAAGACAGTGAGGTAAATGGAACTGATGACAGTCAGGTTAGAGCATCCAGTTCCACCTAAAGGACCAAGGAGAACATGGGATGCCTGTCTTTGTCTCACATACCAATAGAAGGGGAAATAGAGGATAATGAATTAAGGAAATAAGAAAAGGGGGATTAGATAATTTACTTTTTCTTGATTTGCTGTTGACCTACTAAGAAGTTTTCTCTAGGTCTATTCAGGGGGTGACAAACACAACTTGCCCAGCTGCAGGTAGGATCCCCAAGGACTTCCATCTGGACTATGCTGGTGGGCCCTTATTCACACATTAGCAGTCACCTCTTCAGCTTCTTCACAGATCTTATTTCCAGTTACACCGTTTGTTGTCAGCAGTGATATTACTTCCCTGAGAACTTAGTAAGTGTGTTAACCACTTATCCATTAGCTTTATCAAACACTTCTTTTGCTTCTCTTTTAGGAACCAACAACTATATCAGCAATGGAACTTTCTACGAAGCAGGTACAATCATAATAGGCTGCCGTCAATACTGTGTTCTGTTAGTTTTCTGCTTGAACTTGATAGATCTATTTGTCATCTGTCATATTTTATAGATTGGTTCACAGTGAGTAGTGAAAGAATCTAACAAGCAAACAGAAGGAAATTGTGTCATCTGTGCCTTATAGGTTAATAAACACCTATGCACCTTACAGATTCATAAAAGCAAGCAATTGGTTGTTACGTTCAGAAGATCTTAGCTTAAAATGCAGCTCCTACCTTCGGCTGTATTGTATCATGAGAACAGAAAAGGAGGTTTTCACCTCAGCTAAACATACAATGACGCACCCAAGTAGAATATTCTAGAATGCTAAAAATTCAGAGTTTAAGGGCAGCTTCTGATTAGTCTTTCCATTCATATCAAACAGACCTTTTGACAAGACACACAAGAAAAGCAACTGATTTCTCAATAACTGTGGGTATGACACAAGTTTGACTTCTAACATTTACATTTTCTACATTGCTACCTACGCTTCAGTCCAATATATGAATGATAATTTTGGAACTAAATTGGTAGACCAAGCTGAAGTCAATTAGTAACTTACATAATATAAAAATGATAGTGAACTAGGACTTGCTTTTCTTCTGTAAAAACTTGTGTACAGAACTGTGGGTGTAAGATTCAGTTGGCTACAGTTGTTTCTGATCTGTTTGCCTGCCTTGCCTTTGACAGTGTTCCACCTCTTGAACAAAACACTAAATCATACTGCCAACGAAATGCAGTGTGTGCTCTTTCCACACAGACGTATCAAAATAGATTGATAATCTCCAAGATATTTAAACTCAGAGTGCAGATGTTATTGACCTGATACTGCTATCTTACACCTCATTAACATGTATTCACCTGTTCTTCAAATCTAAAAATTGTCACATGTTGGCAAGGAAATCTGGGGCTTTCCAGGGTGGAAGCTAGACAGGAATAATCTTTCCTGTAATGATTTTAAAGGTATTTATTTATATTTATTTCCCTGCTAGATTTCCGAGCCAATCCTTACTGAATTACCTCTAAGTCTAATTTAGCCAAACATCCTGTTTGAAAAAGAAAATTAAGATTTTAAACATTTTAAAGCATTGTCTATTAATACAACATTCAACTAAAAAAATGCCAATATCAGTTATCACAATAGAAGAAAGAATCCAGGACTTACATTTTCCACTGATGGAGGGGAGATGGATTTCACTCAATATGACTCAATTTCATCCACTCTTAGGAGCATTTTTAAAGTGAGACAGCATTTCAGGAGGGACATGTGACACTATAACTAACCTTCTAGATAATGAAATCACGTCCTTCTCATGGCCCACCACTCATAAGGAGGCTAGTGAAATCTCCTGCGGTGATGTTAAATTGGGCAGAAAAAGCACATCAGGTTCCTAAGCTAGTCACTAGATTATGCTCACTGATGCCTGCAAGCCCCTGTGCTTCATGTGAATAGCATGATTATTTTATGTATCATTAGTAATCCTGAAGAATTATGATGAAATCAAAATGACATTGAATTGCATTTAATTTGGAGCAATTTATTGGAGTTTAGGTTTTCATAACCATAAATCATGTGGATGGCTATACTCTTTTTGATTTTTTTCTTTTTCCTGTATGTTTTTTCTATTTTTCTCCTAAAGGCATGCATCAGATATAGATACTTTGTTTGGATAGTTCTTTTCCTACTCAAATGCCATATGCCTATAAATCTATAATTATGAATTTGGCATATGCTTCTGAAACATTATTAGCCAAGCATGAGATCTTTTGGTAATATGGCCAATTTGGTCACTGACCTTTTCAGACTGGATCACAAAGCCAGGGCTGGTAGCAGCACCCATAATCCCAACACTTGGGCAGGGCATGGGGTGGGGGTGGGGGCGCAGGAGATTGAAGAGATTAAGGCTAACCTAACCTATACAAAATTGTCTCAAAGACATCAAAAGAAAATAGGATGCCAGTGTCAGGGTCATCATGTCCATGTTTATCATTGTCAACCATGTTTACGGTTATTTGCTACAAAGCCCTAAGTCATCTCACTTTTGCTCAATATGTTATATCAGCCTCATTTTTTATCACATTGAAACTGCCATTATTCAGCATATCTCTAAGAACATTATTTTAAAAAAGATGAAACATAATATGTTACTAAGGAATCAACATTTCTTAAACTGTGTTGATTTACAAACTCATTCTGTATAATGTTAAAATTAATATAGCAAAACAAATTAAGCATCTATTAATATACATAATAATTTGTTTCTCTACTTCATTGCATGTAAAAGCATATTTAACAAGGAAATATATGCACAAGGAAATAGATTTGTTATTCTTACCTCTTATTATACTTTTATAAAATATCAGTATTTTGCTTAACTCTAAGCACTGGCCTATTATCTATAAAACTACTCCTCAATAATTTCTTAGATTTCAGTAAATACTTCAGTATACATTCAATTTACATACACACATGCATGCACACATACATACATACACACACACACACACACACACACACACACACACACACACACGTCCACATGTACAAATATAGCCTATAAGTGAAAGTCTCTGGGAATGCAATGTTGACCATGTCCATTTCTGACTTTCAGACAATTTATAATTTCAATGAACATCCTGTTGTTCACAATGAAGTTGTTCTAAAACTCAATTTTTATCTGCATCCTAAAAAATTAAAATATACTTTAAAGTCTTTTGCCTATGGACTATTATTATATGTCTCAGTATCCATATAACTTAAAATGTGTTGCATTTTTGTTCATAGTTTATGTATTGGGGTTGTCATAGAGTGATTCATAGGTGTGAGGGACAGAGGCCTGTTTGGGGAAGTCAGTTCTCATCTCCCATCATGTGGGTCCCTGGAATCTACATCAGAATATCATCAGGCTTGGTTAAGGCTTGCTGTATCATCAACCAGTCCTCTAGTGAGAAAAGTATGTCTCTCTCTCTCCATTTTGCAGTCAGATGCTTACAATTGGTTTCTGCTCCACTTACAACTGTATCATCTGCCAGACCATGGAAGAAATATCTAAAACAACTACGATCCATAATATACTTTATTGTTGATGAGGCTAAACAAGTTGGTTTTAAAGGAGAGGTCAAAAGAGTGTTTTCTTTACTATCCACAGCAACAACTGTACATTGGCTCAGCTGCTGGGGTGGCACAGCTTCCTCTCCATCGCTGTGATGTTTATGGCAAGGCCTGTGCAGAATGCTGCCTCGCCCGGGACCCTTACTGTGCCTGGGATGGGTCATCGTGCTCACGCTATTTTCCCACTGCAAAGAGGTAAGATGAGCGTTACGGGGGAAATAGACTGTTTCTTAGCAGAGTTAGTGGTCTGCTTTCTAGAACAGCCCTCTGAAGAAGCACACCGCTGTGCTGTGCAGATGAAGGGAGGTTGGGGTATACACGTCGTAGTTAGGACTGTCATTGTTACTTTGTTCTTGTTTGTTTTCCCATTTCCTTAAAAACCACAAAACAAGAAGAAGAGTGTAGAGTAGGAAAGTTGGATCCTAAATGAGATAGAACAAATAACTGAAGGACTTTAGAACAACAACATAATATCCCTAAGTTCTTATGTTTGGAAATTAGATTTGTGGTTTTATTTTAATAAAAGAGAGATAGGGTCAAAATACACAGAAAGTTATGAACAGAAGACAGCCTTGTGATTTTTGAACCCAATGTTCTATCATCCACAAATCTACTTTTTTTTTAATCTAGAGATATTATGTTCTGTTTTTTTATTTTAATAAGGCCATTTATGTTACCAAATAAAAAGAAATTTCTTAACAGACAGGAGTTCATTTGCTTTTGGAATCTAAGGAATATAGAAATACCTAATCCTAAAAAGTCAAAATGAAGGCTGGGGCAATGTGTTAGTGGGCAAAGTCCTTGTCATGCAAGTGTGAGGCCCTGAGATCGAACCCCCAAACCTACCTATGCTGCATGTAGTGTGAGCATGTGCATTCCCAGTGCTCCCGTGGCAAGTGAGCTGGGACAAGGGGCAGGACAAGCCAGCCAGCCTGATGGGTGTATTTCAGCAGCAAACAACAAAAGGTCTTGCCCCAAGCACAGAGTAAGGAGAGTACTGAACTACAAGGTGGTCATCTCTGCTTCACATAGGCAACGGGCATGTGTCTCACTGTCCCAACACTCAAGACACACATGCACATAGATTCAGTGAAAGTCAAGAATTTCTTCCTACATGTAAAAATGTTGCATTGATGTCTTTAGTGTATTAATATTGATTAAGTAACATTCCTAAAAATATTTGATTTACCTCAGGAAATTTTGATTGTCCCTGTTATTACAACATCATCCTGTGTTTATAGCTTTAACTTGAAACAAAAAACTATATAATCAATTTCATCTGCGTGCACACATATGTGTATGTGAGCGTGTGTATATGTACTACTCATGCATTTTAAATGTTATCTTGATAATACTTACAATTATTTTACAGGGAATTGTTTAAATAAAATTGCTAAGTTATAATTAGGAAGTTAGTCAACAGGTGCGGGAGAGATGACTTAGTTGGCAAGTGCTTGTTGCAGGAGTACCTGAGTTCAGAATCCCAGATCCCAGGGGAAAGCCTGGAAAAGAGTCACAGATCTACACTGCTGAGGGGAGGGCGCGCAGACACAGAGAGCTCACTGATCAGCTTCTCCAGTGAGAAAGCTGGTGAGCTCCAGGTTCAGCCAGTTCAGTGGGCTCCTGGTTTGTGAGAAACCCTGTCTCAAAACAATGATATTGATGATGATGATGATGATGATGATGATGATGATGATGGTGATGATGATGGTGATGGTGATGATGTGGTGGTGACAGAGAGCAACAGAGGAAGGCACCACTGTTAAAGTCTGACCTACACGAGTATACAGGCACACATATGCATACATCTGCATGCTCAAAATATCTGTACAGCATACACAATGCAGACATGCACAAACAAAAATTTATTGAGAACAACACAAACAGATTAAACAAAATTGCAGCTTCCTATGCAAGAGCCAAGGCATAAAGAATGAGAAGGATTTGGGAAGGTGTTGAGGAGGAGAAAGATTATAGTAAACTACATTGTATATAGAATGTTTAAATAAAAACAATAAAACAGAATGGCGATTTAATCATTTAATGTAACATTATTCTCAGAAAATGCTCTCATATTACAGAGAACTGTTAGACACAACCTAGACTTGCAAACAAATCGGTTTACTAGTGTCTAATAAAATAAAAATAGTTCTTAATTTTACAAAGCAGCAATATGACCAGATTCTCTACTCTTTCCTTATAGTTGCCTTTCTTTCTTGATAATTACTGTTTTGGGAGGACATAGTGATGGATTAATGAAAGAATATGTAATATCTCGTTAATGTACCTTCAAGCTTACCACCATGCATATTGACCTATTCAAACAGAGAAAAGTCACCACCATCCCTAAGCCACTGCACTCTAGGAGCAATATAACTTTGTTTTAGCATAGATAACATTTCCAAAGAAGCTGTGTATCAGCCTTTCACAGTAGTGAAACATATTCTGCAGCATTTATAATGTTACAAATGTTATAGGAAATCATGACCCTAACATCAACTTAAATATTTTCACTGATGTTTGGGAAATTATTGTTTCAATATTAAAAATCTACAACTGGGGCTGGAGAGATGGCTCAGTGGTTAAGGGTATTCACTGTTCCTCCAGAGGACCCCAGGTTAGTTCCTAGACCCACAGAGATGACTCACAACCACATAGAACTTCAGCATCAGAGTCTCCAACCCCCTCTTCTGGTCTCATGGTATATCTATGAATGCACACAGATGCACAAACATATACATAAAATAAATAAATAATATATCTTTTTTAAGAAATTCATTAACAACTTAGCTTCATCATATTAGCATAAAATTAGAACACAGAATCACACTGATTCTAAATGTAAAAACTCCTACTGTAGATCACATACATAACCGAGTTTTCTTAATCTTTCAGAATTCTAGATTGAAATGTTATGATTAACACTTTCATAATCTGTTGGAATTTTACAGTTGAAAAAACTGGCTGAGTCTGAAGTTAATATATCTTGATTAGAGGAACTATGGATCTTTCAATACATTGCAATATACAGTCATTACTGTGATAATTATAAATTATTTAAGATGAAATTTTTGTCCTTTAAACTTTTTAGCTCTAGGGGACTTTTGTGTTGCTCAAATGTACATGTGGAATTCATATTTGATCTAAAAATGACTATTTTCTTTATAAGAAATAATAATGAGAACATTGCAAGATTTGGTAATGAGAGGTTTGAATTTTAAGTTTTTCTTATCAAAAAATGAGAAAAAGAAATAAAAATAACTATCATTTAAAACTCATATTTATATATTTGCAAGTGGTTCTCGCACATCCACAAATTAAGACCAAAAGATAGTGCTTTTGTTTTTCTTGTGAATTATAAGTTTTACTTGATCCAACTCCATGTGTCTGGCACTAGAAATGTGTTTCAGAAGGGTGTGTAGAGTCCTTTCAGCATATATATCTTCTGATAGCAGTTTTTAAAGCTTGAACCATTGAGAAAGGCTTTCCCCAATGCTTTGTGGCTCAAGTTTCACAGTTTTCTTGTTGGCTCAATTTTCAAATGTACACATCTGTTTGATAGTCTCACTACTTCTACAAATAGAAATCTATAAATACTTTAGACCTCTAAATTTATGAGCACTGTAATGAATTCCATGTTTACAATTTTCAATGACCAATAAAGGTGCTCTTTTCAAGGATGGTAACTAATTTCATCGCAAGATAATACCTTTAAAATTGATGAAAAAGAAAAAAAATCAGTCAAGTACAGCTAGGCTTTGCCTGTGTGTTACACACAGCCATTCTCCATTTTTTCTTATCTCTCTGTCTTTATCTATTTTGTATCTGGTAGCAGGAGACCAACTCCTCCTCTAACTGTGTCTAATTGCAAGTAACCTCACATACAGTTTGAGAAGCCTGGCAAGGAACCTAACTCTAGTCTGATGTATACATTCTGTTCTTCTGTAAAAGAGAAGGTCATCTTGGTCCACCCACTCTCCTAGCAAAAGAAGATCTTGCCTTTAAGTTCAACATTTGTGGTTGTTTTCCTACATTTCTCCAATGCACAAATAAACTCATTTCCAATCATAGCCATAGGATAGGGCAATCATGGTGGTGTATACCTGAATCCAGCCTTGACTGTAGAAGGAGACCCTATCTAAAACAAGGAAAGAAAGAGACCGATGCTGGAAGTGTAGTCCAATGGTACAGCACATGCAATAGGCTCTGACTTCAAACCCTAATACCAAAGGAAAAAAATCAAATAATACACATTAAAGATGCTTTTCTAAGTTGGACTGTGGTGGTGCATGCCTTTAATCCCAGCACTCAGGACAGAGGCAAACAATCTCTGTGAGTTCGAGGCCAGCATGGTCTACAGAGTGAGTTCTAGAACAGCCAAGGCTACACAGAGAAACTCTGTCTCAAAAAATAAAAAAAAAGTTGCTTTTCTATAAAATACTGATATGACAAAATTAAAAAGCAATAAAAGAAAGAATTTTTAGTTTAAACATTCTAAAGTTAGACAATAGTATATTTTAAAAGGATGTTTGAGCAATCAGGAAAAATCATCATTCATGTGAATTTTAATTTTCAAGCTTACACCCACATAGATGATGATAACAATAGTTGGATTGTGTTTATTGAAGAAGTGGGTTGCTGTTTCAGCATATTATTCCTTATTTCCTCTAAAGTGAAGTCTAGAGCTTCTCAGTGTTAGATTGCTGTTGACTGATACCTGTTGGAAAACAAGCATTTCTTGTCTGTCAGTGATAAAGGCCTTTGATTGCAGCTGCTGAATTCAGTGTCCTTGTTCCCCATTTGATCACCTTTGACCCCTTCTCCACCCACACTGGATGAAAATGCATGTCTTGCTTTCTTGTCTGTAATATTCAATAAGATTTGACTCTTCGGAAATTTTTAACTGGGAAAATAGAGATAGAATAATGTCTCTTAAATGTAATTGTTTTAGACGCACAAGACGACAAGATATAAGAAATGGAGACCCACTGACTCACTGTTCAGACTTACAGCACCATGGTAAGTCACACTCTTCAACTTTAAACCTCTGACACTAAATTGACAAGAGTGCACACATCTCTTCAAGAGTACTTAGGGGGAAGTACGATCTGGCCTGAAGTAACTGCTAAAGAACACACAAAACGGGAATAGCTTTTATGATCACAAGTGTAAGAAATTCAAGATTTTAGATCTTTATGAGACACAAAACTCAAATGTCTTAGACAAAAAGAAGCCAGGTTTATGAACATCCTTTTACATACTAGCTAGTCAAGGAGGTAGGCAATAGAATTTTTAATTAAAACATATCAACTAAACTTATCAAATAAACTTAATAGAGTTAATGTTCAAATCAACTGAGAAGCCATATGTCTATATGATGATGATACAAAGCCAGTATATTCTTTCTGAGTATTTGAGTCAGATAGATGAGGAAGCAATGTCCTTATGTTAAAATACTAGTTGTATATTTCCTCGAAGTGGGCAATTTGCAAGCAATATGCTGTATGCTTTCTGTAAGATATTAAGACATTTTAAACATCACAGTTGCTTATTTCACTCGAAACATCAATCAACCTCCATTTAAAATGTATCATTGCAGTACAAGCTCATTCTCTCTATTTCAACTTATGAGATTAATAATGAAGCTGTGCTTCCCTCTGCTGGGGGAACTTCCCAATGACAAGGGCACTAATGAACAGTTAAAAAATAATAGTTAACATGCAAAGCATGTACACTGTAACCGAACACAATCATCCTGTTTTCGCTTCAGGTACCTTGCACGGTATCACAAAACACTCTTGCTCTTTTTTTTTTTGATTAATTTTCATTTGATTTCCTATGTGTGTAGATAATTCTTGTTGTATGTTTTTTAAAGAGGAACCACTACTACACATAGCACTTGAGCATGCATTGCGAAATCCAATTCCTTCTTGAAATGCAGGCCCCATTGTGCATAGTCTCAATGGGTTGTCATCAGACTCAAAAATCCTTGGTAGGATTGTGGGAGAATCAGGAGATGTTGGATCAAATGCTTTAATCACTCACTCTTAGACATTTCTGGTCAATGGCTTCCCGGTGGGTTACTCTCCTGACTTTAAGGGAAATGACCAGTGAAGAGGAGTGAAGTTTTAGTTGTCTTTGCCTAAGGAAGATGACTGTACTAGCTGTCTCCTCCTGAGCTTTACAAGGAGCAGACTCCATTTAGACAATTGAATATCTACTGTTTTCCATGAGTTTATTTCAAATGAAAATATTGTACTATGGTCAGCATCATTTCACACATGAGGAAATAGTAATTATTAATTCATTATATTAAAGAATTTATGTGCTTGTATCTTGAGAGTTAAAGATAAATATCAGAAGCAAAAGCTCACAGAGATCCCCCTGACTCTTCCTCCCCAGTGCTGGGATTAAAGGTGTGCGCCACCACTGCCCGGCCCTGTATACTATTTCAAAATAATATCTAATGACATAGAAATGTCTCCTATACAGATGGGAAAACTGAACAAGGACTTTTTCTTATTTTATATTTTTTCATTTTACATACCACCCACAGTTTCCCCTCCCTCTCCTCCTCCAACTCCCCACCCCGGCACCTTCCCCCACAACCCTCATCCACTCCTCAGAGAAGGTAAGGCCTCCCATGGGGAGTCAACAAAGTCTGGCATATCAAGTTGAGGCAAGACCAAGTTCCTCCTCCCTGCATCAAGGCTCAACAAAGTATCCCTCCACAGGGAATGGGCTCCAAAAAGTCAGTTCATGGACCAGGGATAAATTCTGGTCCCACTGCCAGGGGCCCCACAAACAGACCAAGCCACACAACTGTCACCCACATTCAGAGGGCCTAGGTTGGTCCCCAGCCATTAGTCCAGACTCCATGAGCTCCCACTAGCTCGAGTCAGCTGTCTCTGAATAGGAACTTTTTTTAAAGTAAGACATGTTTAAATTAATATTGTTGATTATTGAATGATTTTATTGGAGCTAATGTTGCCCATTTTGAAGATGTGCTTTGGTGTTACTGTGTTGGTTCAAGCCTATAAAAATTAAGTGCATAGAATTATTTTGTGATAAAGAGTAAAGTGTGAATGAATTCTTCTCCAAATAACTCGATTAGCATACTTATGTGGGATGAAAAGGAATTGTGACAGTTTAGTGTTACAATAACTATTTCTATTTTTTTTTCTTTTCGGTTGGTAAGTACCTCTATTTTATGTTTGAGATAGATGGGAGCAAAGGTCCAAACAGCCCTCAAAATTCCAAAGCAATAAAACACTCCTTCCTCAAAGGTCCCTGTGCTTGTTGGCTGCTTTTGTTGGTAATTGACCAAACACAAAGCATACACAGTGTAGGTTAGAGTGAAGTTCAAATGTGAGCAGAGTCAGGCAGGAATCCCCATTTGGCCAGGCTCAGTCTTACCATTAGGGATCCGTGAATTATCTCAGCCTAGTAGATATCAATATTTGAAGGTAAATGGGCCCCAATCCAGAGCCCAACCCTGTTTAAATCATGTATGTTGTCTTGCTAATGTCACTTCTCACATTCAATAAAATATATGTGCTCATATGGAAACAAGTAGAGATATTAGATGGTTTTTAACAGAAAGCTTCTAAGCAACATGAAGCTAAATTATACACTTCAGTATGATCACTTCCAGCTGTAATAGTAAACATATTCTGTAACACTCTATATTTTACATATCCTGAGTTTTTAATAAAATGACTATATATAAAATATCTTGAAATTAAGGTGAAAGAAATTGCACTTCTGATATAACCTTCAACACACCCTCACTGAATGTTCCTATTGTGCAGAGCAGGAGTAAGCTGAACTGTTCTGGATGAAACGGGAAACTCCACCTCACTTCCCTTGGTCCCAAAACACTCCTCTCTATCACCATGGCCGCTCACCCAAAGCCTTCGTATCCAACCCTAATAGTTCATGTGCGCTGGAAAATCTTGTCTTTCTAACTGCACACTAGGCACAATGCTAATGCAGAATTCAGGTTGTTTCCAATCCATTCCTTACCCTCAAAGGAGAGTGTGCCTGAAATTGGAGCTTGTCCAACTTTGCATTTAAGAAAATGACTGGCCAAGTCAATTACCTCTCCACTGTCTCTTTTCCTCCCTCCTTTCAAGCCAAAATGAGCTGCAGCACAATTTATGATTTTGTGTCCAGAAAGCAAAAAGCTTCATTTTTAAAATTCATACCACCATCTTATGTTTCTGGATCCTGGAAACTTTATGCCCTATCTTCTAATTGAGTGGCATCATTCAATTTCACTTTCTAATAGTTTTCTTGGCTGTTCTGCATAGATGCAGTTCCTTTTTAATGTCCCATAATAAAATATCCACAGAAGTAAGGCAATCTTCTAAATTATCTCAACAGCTAGCCCATCTCAATTTATCTTGGTTGGCATCAAAAATCATACCCAAATTTCATAAAATCTCTTTGGCAGTACTGCCCTTTTGGTCTAAGGAGCCATAAATTTAGTATTTTGTGACAATGATTCTATGATCTGTACTCTACCATTTTCCAAATATGAATATGAGCATTTAACCCAAAGAGGAGCCATGAGGTTTGATCAGGTGCTGATGTCATCCATTTAAAACACAGAGCTCCATAAATTATGAAATACCACCTATAAAACAACCATGAAGATTCCATGTGCTACTACATCATGAGCTGCTAAGAAAGAAAATGGCCCAGGAATGGCAATCTAGTGCAGAATTCCAGATCCAATCTTGCAGACAGATTCTTCAATAAAAGTCTTAGGGAGAAAGAAATGCCCATGTAGGTGAGGGAAACAATGAAAAAATTCCTAGTCATAATCATAGGTAGAAGAAATGAAAAAAAAAAAACTGTTCTTTGATTTATAAGTCGGGACTGATGAAGGCTACAGATTGGCATTCATGCAAACCAGGTAGACTCGTGACTTTAGACAGAGAATTTAGTCCCAACAAATGTCAGATTCATAGAGTTTGACACAGGGAAGAAAGATTAGAAAATTCCTTCTAAAATAAAGCAACTTCAGCTCTGATCAAGAGTAAAGGTAAGACACAAACTAACATGAAACCAGTTGAAATGTGATGAGTGTGCATTGTAGAAGCAAGTCACATGGTATTGCCTGCTATGACTTTTATAGACACCCTTGAAACTCCTCTCTTTGGAGTAATCAATGAGCAACAGTTATCTTCAGATGTCGCCTTAGGCAAACAATCAATTACATTTACTAAATATGTGTGAGGTTTGCAATATTTTCATTTATTTTCTTTTCTTTACAAAAATCTTCATCTCATCCCAGATAATCTATTTTGCAATTAAATTTAATTACTATAAAGATTCTAAGTTGTCTGCCTTTTTCCTTTAATTCCAAAAGCTGTAGGGATCTAATATCATTATAATACAAGATGGTATTTTCATTGTTGTTTCTGGGAGGCTTCTGCTTCTGCAAATGATTGTTTCCTATCTCCCATCAAATCGCTTAGGGAACGTAAATGAAAGATTAAATTCTATGTTTCCTGTTCTATTTTTTCAAACAATTGTTCCTATGGCAATCATGCTCTGGCATATAGGTTATTTTGCTTTCTTTGGTAAAGCATTCACTATAAAGTCACGAAAATAAAATACACCAGATGTTGCACATAGATTCATAATATTACAGTAAATATATGCATATTGGTACCACTCTGTAAGCTTTTAGGTTTCATTGTGCCCTATGATTAGAAGAGCTCTAGTCGTGATATCATATATTACTAAAAGAATATAGCTGTGGCAAGTCTCATGTTTCATTTCATAACACATTGATTTCATCATTATTTCAAAATAATTTTTCTAAAAATAAGACACACTAGCTAGTGACTAGAAAGATACTTTCTCCAACAAAATAATTACTTAAAATAATACTGGTCAAATTCCCTTGCCTACCAATCTGCTTATCCCTTTCACTGTCCATATGCTGACAAGCACATTCTAAGAATCAATCCAAATAAATATAAACACATAAGAAATATTGAAAACTA